TCCTCGTGGTGTGGCGGTGGGTGTTGGGCACTGGCTTGTTTGCGGCCGTTCTTCTCCGGTGAGGGGGAGAATATTATAATTTTTTTGTTTTTGTTTTTTGTGTGGGAGGGGGTGTGTGGGCGGGGGGATCGGGGCTTGGAGTGGGGCTCGGGATTTGCGCTTAGCTGTGTTGTGTGGCTTTCTTCTTCTTCGGATTGGTGCTGTGGGACCGGTGTTGGGGGGAGTCGTTCGGGGGCCGGGGTCAGGGTGGGGGTGCTGGCGCCGGTGCCGGGGGTTTTTGGGCATTGCCCGGCCCTACTGCGGGGTGGGTCTGGGGTGGCTCCTTGGGCCTGGGATCCCTGGGGCGCATTGCCCTTGGGCGGGGTCCCCGGTGGGGGTTCGGGGGTTCGGGTTCTGTGGGGAGTGCTGCTTGGGTTCTGGGCCGGTGTACGCCTGGCTGTCTGTCCCTGCTGCCACGGCCTCTGGTGTGCCGGGGTGCCTCGGGGCCTGCTGGGCTGGGGGGGGGCATGGACATTAACACCTATGGCAAGTGCTTACCCCCTCACGGGTTTGCACTCTGTAAGTGGGGGAAGGGGAGGGAGGGGGAGTAGGTATGATCTCGGCCTGGATGTCTTCTGTCGCTTGTGTGGTGAGTAGCTTGATTGTTATTGTAGGGGAGGGATTACATCTCCGGAGGGGGGGTGGGGGGTGGTGATAGAGGGAAGACAAAAAAAAAAGAGAAAAAAAAAAAAAAAAAACCTGGTATTATTGGATGTGAGTGTTATGTGTGAATGTGTGTCTGCGTTGTTATTTTCTTTATTTATTATTATTATTATTTTATTCAATTTTTTTTTTTTTTTTTTTTTTTTTCCTGTGGTACGAGTGGGGGCACTAGGGAGGGAAGGCATGATTGAGATGGTGTGTTTTTTTTTTTTTTTTTTTTTTTCTTTCCCAGGTTGGGGTCTCAACCGCACCCTCTCCCAAATACATCTCAAGTCTCCGCTAAGTGCGGAGCCCATTCCCCCCGTCCTGCTCTCCCTCCGCTGGCTGGCGTCGGGGCTCACCGGTGCACTGGTGGAGCTGGGGGTGGATGCCCGGGGGACTGCTGGCTCATTCCTGGCGGCCTCTCCGCTGGCCCCGGCCGGCCGGGGCTTTGCTGGGGCTCCTGTCTGGGGGTGGGGTGCCCTTGGGGCCTCGGATCCCTGGGGCCTGGGACTGGATCCGCTTCGGGGTGGGGCTGGGTGTTGTTCGGGGATTTTCGGGGTCGGTGCCGGTGCCTTCGCTACGATGCCGGTTCCTGGGCGGTGTTTCTTTCCTGTGCCGGTTCTGTGGTATCGGTTCGGGGAGGGGGGGAGCTGCGCGGCATGGTGGGGTGCGGGTCTTGGGTCCTGTTTTGGGCTCCGGTTTTTCCGCTCGCACTTCTCCTCTTGCCTATTTATTTTAATTGTAATTATTAATTAATTTATTTATTTACCTATTTATTTGTTATTTTTAATTTTTAATTTTTTTTTTATTATTTTTTTTTTTTTTTTCTCTTCCTCGGTGGGGGGGAGCGGTTGCGGGCGGGTCGGTGTCTGGTGTCCGCTGTCGCATTGTGGGGGCCCCTTTTTTTTTTTTTTTTTTTTTTTTTTTTTTTCTCTTTTTTTCTTTGGGGGGTTTGGCATGTCTGTTTTCTCGGGGGGCAGGCGGGCCGGCTGGGTGGGGGTCCTGCTGGCGGCGCGCCGCTGGTGTGTGGGGGTCCGGGCGGCTCCGGCGGGGGTAGTGTTGGGGGGCCGGTCTGGGCGGGCTGGCTGCGCTGGCTGGGTATTCGGGTGGGTTTTCCCTCCTGGAGGCATGGCGGGGCTGCTCTGTTCCCACTGATCGCGGCGGGTGGGGCTGCGGGGCGGGTGTGGGCCTGGGGTGGCTATGACCGGCGCGTGGTGGGGGGCCGGGGCGGCGGAGCTGCTCTGGCCGCGTGTCGGGGCCTGGTGTGGGCTGCGGGGGGGGGTGGCGGACGTGGCTGGGCTGCTTTGGCATCGTCCGGTGGGGGGGGCGGCGCGGTTCGCTCCGCTCTGGCTTTGTGCTGCCCCTCGGGCTGCTGGGGGGGGGTGGTTGCGCCGGCTGCGGTCTGCTCCTCTTGCGGTTTTGCGCCGGGCGGCTTTTCTGCTCTCGGGCTGATTCTGTGCGCGGTGTGTTTCGTTGCGCGCTGTTGGCATCGGTCTTGGTGGGGTGGGGCTGCGCTTTTGGCCGGGGGGGCGTTTTGGGGGGGGGTCCCGCGGCGCTCGTGGCCGGTTCGCGGCGGATGATCATGGGCCCCGGCCGGGGGCGGGGCCGTCTTAGTGTTTTCCTGGGTGGTGCGGTCGCGGTGGGTGTTGCGGCCGGTCGCCGGGGCTTGGTGCGGGGGGGCGGGGCGTGTTTCGGTGCTCTGTGGGGCTGGGGCGTTTCGGTCGGCGCCGTGGGGGGGCTGGTGTTCGGCGCCCGGCCCTACTTCGGGGTGGCCGGCTGCCGGCGGCGGCGGGGCCCGCGGACTCGTCCCCGCGGCTCCCCGGGGCGCCGGCATGGCGGTGGCTGGGGGGCTTCCTCGTGGCTGTCTCTCCTCCTGCCTTGGTGGGGTCTGATTTCCGGGGCTGGCCCCGCCTTGGTGCCTTCGCTTCTTGGGTCCCCTTGGGCGCCTGGGGCTTTGGGTCTCCCGGCGCTGGACTCAGTGCTCTGGGGGGTGTGCCTCTCCGGCTCTCCACAACCACTATTGAGCATTTTTTTCTATGGTTAAAACTTTACATGCACAAGTTCACCCTCACAAACAACTACAGGTGCTAGGCTTCAGGTACTTAGAGATTCACTTCCAAACAGAAACCCCACATTCATATCTTCAGGTAACACAATGTACATGTCAGACTTAATAATATTACTTTAGTGATAGTTTCAAGGTGTTTGCTTTATTGTATATCTCGTACCATGTTTTTTGGTTGTGCTGTTCTTTTTTCTTTTTTTTTTTTTTTTTCTCCATCTCATTACAGGTGTTGAAGCAGACTGAAAATGTTTTGTCATTGTCTCCTTCCTATCTCCTCTTTCTTTCATCTTTTGTCCTGTTTTTTTCTTTTTCTTTTTCCTTCTTCTTCTTCTGTTTTTCTGCTCTACTTACATTGCAGTGTCCATATGAACTGTAAAACTCCCTGCATAATTATAATAAAGCAATTTATATACATGAAACAAGTGGAGCGGTATGGCAATTGCGATACCGCTACACTTGTGAAAGTAAAATCTGTTGGGCTCCTTTTGGCATCAAGACAATTATTCTTATTGCCACCTTGCCAGACAGGACACTGTATAAAAAAAAAAAAAAAAAAAAAAAAAAAAAAAAAAAAAAAAAAAAAAGAATGTTTTTAGAGCGTAAACAGTAGTGTATAGGATTTCCTGAAAGCGCGTTCACGAGTCTACGGAAACCGCGGCAGACCAAACCAGATGAAAGTGCGCTTTGGACAGGTCCAAAGTCATCTTTTTACCCTGGTCCAGAGGCAGGTCCTGCCAGTCTAAAGTCAAGTTCAAGTCATTTCTTTGAACATTCAAAGAGTCCGTCCAATCATTGAGACACTGTAAACCCATCCAAGCTTTTTAGAGAATGCAGCTGGATCCACTTTCCTATCTAAGGAAACCATCAGGCGACATCAAGACATTGACCTGCAGCTTTCACTTCTCCCATATCAGCATGTAGCCACCAGGGGGCAGTCACAGACACAACAAGTCTGGTCTGCAGGGAATGGTTTCATTTCATCACATGGGCTCTAAGCTGCTCATCATTTTTATTTCTTTGGAAATTAAGGAACAGTAACATTCCTTTGATGGTTGAATTATGATTATTAATCATGACATGAGGTCAATAAATTATATATCATAGGAGAAGGCAGATTAGAGAAGTAAAAATGTAAGTACATTCTCCTCCTGCAAAATACTTGAAAAGCTTAAAGTGCCAGATTGCAAAAGCAGTGAGAGAGTACAGCAAAGATCAGAGAAAGTACAGAGAAGCTGTTTAAGTTACTGTACAGGTCTGAGCTTCATGGTTAATAAATGATCAGAGTCATCACAAGAACTCTGGAACACAGTTAAACCTGTTCAGATACTTTAAAGGTGCATCAGATCAAAAACTATGTTTCAAAAAAGATCTGCAGATAGACTCAGATTGAAGGGAGTGGTGCAGATCGGAGGCCGGAATCGGATAGACGACAGGATTTAGTTTCAATCTGGATGAAATCTGTTCATGAATCTATAGAAAACAGCCAGCTGTTGCATTATCAACCTGTGAAGCTCAGCATGCCTCCAGAGTTGGCCATGCAAGAAAGCTTTTAGAACAGGATAGAAAATATCAATATGAACAAACCAAAATAATAGAAGAAAGCACTTCCTAAACAAGATGTAAACATAGAAACATCAGATTTTTACGGAAGAGAATTACGATCACTGGAAAAAATAAAAAAGTTAACTGATTTTTAAATTTTATTTCAGTTTAGCATGGGTAAAAAGTCAGAATTTTGACTTTAATCTCAGAATTCTGACTTTAATCTCAAAATTCTGACTTTTTTCTCAGAATTCTGACTGAATTCTGACAATAAAAAAGCTAATTTTTAATGACCTCCGCCAAGTAGGTTATGTTATGAGGAGAGTTTGTGTCAGGCCTTAATACCCTAGGCAAGATTTCAGGTGGTGTTTAGGCCTATCTTTGACTTTTTATTTTATTTAACAATGAAAAAACTATTTAAATAAGATCGAAAACAATGAAATAAGACAATGTTATGACCCGTCAACGGGTGGCCAGATCATAACATGAAGGATTCATCCTCTTCAGATCTCAAGCAGCCAACATGCACAAAGCTGAACGCTTTTATAAAGTTATCTATTTAAGAAGGGTTTTTGACTGAAAAATTACAGGAAGTGGAGCATTTGACTTCAAAGAGAGTTAACCGCTCTCACAGCCAGGTCCTCTGTAAGGGGCACCCACACTCCGAAACAGTAGGTGGCGGTAAAGCACCGTTAAGGCGGCCAACAGCATCCGCCATTAAATTCAAAGCAGAAGAAGAAATAAACAAAAGAAGAAGAAGGCCGCTGCAGCTCCCACCTGGTTGGATGTTCTGACCTGGTTTAAAGTTTTTAAAGAACCTTTCAGGCGGGATTTAGCTTCTCTCCAACAGGTCGGAGGCCCAGCAGCTTGAAGCTGGCCCTAGGCTGGTAGCATCCAGGCTGTTAGCATCCAGCTAACAGTGGTAGCATCGAGTCCTAGCCTTCCCTCCGCCTGAGGCTGGCCGTTAGCTGCTACTAATGTTCCGCCCTAAGCCCACCCTGAAGGACCGGCAGCAGCTGTACCGGCTGATCATCAGCCAGCTGCTGCATGATGGCTACACCAGCATCGCCAACAGCCTGATCAGCGAGGTGAAGCCGCACAGCGTGGTGTCTCCCTCCGAGCAGCTGATGCAGCTGGCTAAGATCGGTGAGAGCCTCAGCTTATTAATAACCCTAATCTGGCTTCTCCTCATTGGCTTCCTGTTAAATCCAGAATAGAATTTAAAATCCTCCTTCTCACATATAAAGCCTTAAATGGCCAAGCTCCATCTGATATCAGAGATCTGATTGTTCCTTATGTTCCTAACAGAGCACTTCGCTCTCAATCTGCAGGTTTACTAGTGGTTCCTAGAATTTCTAAAAGTAGAATGGGAGGCAGATCTTTTAGTTATCAGGCTCCTCTCCTGTGGAACCAACTACCAGTTTTAGTCCGTGAGGCAGACACCCTGTCTACTTTTAAGGCTAGGCTTAAAACTTTCCTTTTTGATAAAGCTTCTAGTTAGAGTGGCTCAGGTTATCCTGAGCTATCTCTATAGTTCTGCTGCTATAGGCTTAGACTGCTGGAGGACATAGGGACCCCTTTTTCATCATTCTGCTTCATTCTATCTCTATTCTCCCACTCTGCAGAATCTGTTAGTTCAATCTCTAACGTTCTGCTCTCTCTGCTTTTTCTCATAGTAGCTTCATCTGGTCTGTTCCTGTTTGGCTGTGACTCCATCCTGGAGAGAAATATCAGCTGTGCTGCTGCCATCAACACCTTTGTTTCTAGATGTTGGAGCTTGGCCTGTTTTCCAGTGTAGTCCTGTTTCGTTGACTGTGACTAACTGGATGTGCTCTCTTCATCCTCTGACATGGGAGCTGGCTCGGAGCTCGTCTGCCTGGCTGTTTGTTTCCTGGACGGGGCCGCCTGTGGAGCTGGTTGCCTTTTGTATCTATGCTTCTTTTTCTATGTCTGCTTCTGTCTCCTTGAACCCCAGTGGGCCTCAGCAGATGGCCGCTCACACTGAGCCTGGTTCTGCTGGAGGTTTCTTCCTGTTCAAAGGGAGTTTTTCCTCTCCACTGTCGCTACAAGCATGCTTAGTATGAGGGATTGCTGAAGAGTCAATGAGTCGAGGCAATCACCTGGTTTTCCTTAGATAGAAAACTTTGAATCAATCTGACTGGATGATCTGGTGAACTGGAAAGTGACCTGAGATGACATGATGTGAATTGGAGCTATAGAAATAAACTGAATAGAATAGAGATTAATGACCCTAATCTGGTCGGAATGTCTGCCATCTGCTGCAGGGATGGAGAATGACGACAGTGCCGTCCAGTACGCCATTGGCCGTTCGGACACGGTGGCTCCCGGGGTGGGCATCGACCTGGAGTTCGATGCTGATGTGCAGACCATGTCCCCAGAGGCCTCAGAGTACGAGACCTGCTACGTCACGTCCCATAAGGGTCCATGCCGCGTGGCCACGTACAGCAGGGATGGCCAGCTGATCGCCACGGGCTCAGCTGACGCATCCATAAAGATCCTGGACACAGAGCGGATGCTGGCGAAGAGCGCCATGCCAATTGAGGTTAGGGGGCGGAGCTTAGTGAGGGCAAGTCGTGATGTTGTGCTGCTGTTCTGATCACCTGCTGCTGTTTCTCAGGTGATGATGAATGAGACGGCGCAGCAGAACATGGAGAACCACCCAGTGATCCGGACGCTCTACGATCACGTGGACGAGGTCACCTGTCTGGCCTTCCATCCCAGCGAACAGATCCTGGCGTCTGGCTCCAGAGATTACACCCTGAAGCTGTTCGACTACTCCAAGCCGTCTGCAAAGAGAGCCTTCAAATACATCCAGGTTGGTTCTGCTGCTGACTTCCAGCTCCCGCAGCATCACTGCACTCATCAGTCATCGTCCTAGCTTTTTTAATTCCAAATGTCAGGAATAGTGTTCCAGGTGTTATAGAGTGGAATAAAACAAAGCCTTGTTTTGGTAATGGGGGTCATTTGGCTTTTGTGAGGCTTTGTTGGGCTGCTGTATAAAACCTGGAACTCAACGCTATTTCTGACATTTTTAATTGAAATATATATATATATATATATATATATATATATATTAGGGGTGCAACTAACGATTATTTTAAAAATCGATGAATCGGCCGATTATTTTTTAGATTAATCGATGAATCGGACAAAAAATATATTTTATATTTTATACTCTTTATTCCAAAATAAACATTTTATTCAGAACAAACAAGCACACAAGTACAGGCTGCTCATTAACTGTACTGGTGCAATATGAAAAATAAATGTTTGAGTTAAAACTACGCAAACTTACATGAGAAATGTAGCTGTACATCCACAAAATATAGGCTACTTTGTTTCATAAAGCGCTAAAAAAGACATTTTTGTTTTTAAAAGCCCCTAAGGGGTTCAAACAATAGGCCCCCCCATTTCAACAAATTAGTTTTTTTTAGACTAGAAGAGTTCTGCCTTTTAAGACAGGAAAGTATAGCAGTTAAAGTTGCTACTTGAGAAAATACTGAACCATAGAGATAAAAATAGCCCTGTGATTCAAATTATAAATTGTATTTGGAATAAAAATGAGAGAACTAGGGGTGCTAAAAAACACATCCTCCAAAGACAGATATTTACATGGGAATGTGGCAGATAATTAATTGACATATTACTGATCTTGCTGGATTTTATTCTGCTTTACTTCCATAAATTGCAGGATCTTCTTTACTTTATCTTTGCCAGAAGATTTAAACTTTAAAAGCCTTGCCCTCATAATTTGCAAGTTAATTTATTTATAAAGTAAATATAAACGCTGCTTAAGCTAATTCAAATGAAATTAAAAGTAAAATAAGTAGCCAACCTTATCACTGTCTGTAACCTACTAACACGGTAAGGAAAGCATCAGATGAGCTACCTGAGAAACTAACGTTACGTTTCCCCGCTTTAAAACCAAACAAACATGGTGGTTCCGTGCCATGTTCATTTGTTTTGACAAAAGTTGCATGTTACGACTTTTTTCACTTTACAAAGCGCAGGCTATTTTAATTATTGTGATCAATTTGCGCCGTCAATCCCGGCGCATGCGCGCTTCATTTGCAGTCTGGACGCTGAGGGTAAACATCCTGCGGCTCTGACTGCAGCGCTGAGAGGGACTCCTGCGGGAGAACGGGGTTGGGATGGGGGAGGCGCCCCACGGCAGAGTAGGAACGATACATGCTTTCACGTAAGAGTCTCCAAAAGCCGCCAGTGACACCGTAAAAAGTCCCCAGATTTGTCGCTAGTCGCTTTTTTGAAAAATAGGATGTGATGACGGCGGCGGCGGATGACGCATTAATCGCGCGACACAACTAATTGATGATGAAATTCGTTGCCAACGCTTTTAAAAGTCGATTTTTATCGATTTTATCGATTCGTTGTTGAAGCCCTACCCAACTGGCATCTTCATTAAATAGTACCCGCAAAACACCAGAGTCAACATCTACAGTGAAGAGGCAGCTGCGGGATTCTGGGCTTCAGGGCAGAGTGGCAAAGAAAAAGCCATATCTGAGACTGGCCAATAAAAGAAAAAGATTAAGATGGGCAAAAGATCACAGACATTGGACAGAGGAAGACTGGAAAGAAGTGTTTTGGTCTAACGACTTTGTTTCCCACCGCCTGCAGGAAGCAGAGATGCTGCGCTCCATCTCCTTCCACCCCTCCGGAGACTTCCTGCTGGTGGGGACCCAGCACCCCACGCTCCGCCTCTACGACGTCAACACCTTCCAGTGCTTCGTCTCCTGCAACCCGCTGGACCAGCACACGGACACCATCAGCGGCGTCAGCTACAACCCCACCGCCAACAGCTACGTCACCTGCAGCAAGGACGGCAGCATCAAGCTGTGGGACGGCGTCTCCAACCGCTGTGTCAGCACCTTTGAGAAGGCCCACGACGGCGCCGAGGTCTGCTCCGCCATCTTCTCCAAGAACTCCAAGTACATCCTGTCCAGCGGTAAAGACTCTGTGGCCAAACTGTGGGAGATCTCCACCGGACGGACTCTGGTCAAGTATACAGGTGAGCGTTCAGGTCACCTACGACTCAGAGTCTAGAAGACGTCTTCCTCTCCTCTAACTGATGGTGGTGGGAGCACTGAACCAAAATATGAGGTACTATACCTGTTCACCTGCAGTATTTTCATCTCAGTGCTGCCCAGAAATACTGCTGTTATCCTCCTGGCCAGTAGTAGCTTCTAGGGGTTAGCCTCTAGGGGTTGGCTTCTAGGGGTTAGCTTCTAGGGGTTAGCTTCTAGGGGTTAGCTTCTAGGGGTTAGCTTCTAGGGGTTAGCCTCTAGGGGTTGGCTTCTAGGGGTTAGCTTCTAGGGGTTAGCTTCTAGGGGTTAGCTTCTAGGGGTTAGCTTCTAGGGGTTAGCTTCTAGGGGTTAGCTTCTAGGGGTTAGCCTCTAGGGGTTAGCCTCTAGGGGTTGGCTTCTAGGGGTTAGCTTCTAGGGGTTAGCCTCTAGGGGTTAGCCTCTAGGGGTTGGCTTCTAGGGGTTAGCTTCTAGGGGTTAGCCTCTAGGGGTTAGCTTCTAGGGGTTAGCTTCTAGGGGTTAGCCTCTAGGGGTTAGCCTCTAGGGGGTCGTGTGAGAATCTCTTGCTTTCAGCCTCATCATGAGTTGTGTAGTGTACAGGGGGTAACGAGGGGGGAGATCGGCCCCTTACGACCACCTCCCGACCATCGTGGGGAAATCGCTCAGTGGGCAAACAAGGATTCTTCTTCTTCTTCCTGTCAGAGGAAAACCCAGAAGCATGCTCAGCCATGTCTTTGTCCAAATAAGTCGTCAACTTTTCTTTTTAGGGCTTTCAGCAATTCAATTCAATTCAGTTTATTTATATAGCGCCAAATTCACAACACATGTCATCTCAAGGCACTTTACAGTTCAACCAGATCATACAGTCAAATTGATACAAAGTTTTCTATCTAAGGAAAACCAGTTGATTGCATTGACTCCCCCACACTAAGCATGCTCAGCACAAAATTGCCCAAATATCCAAGGCAGCGCGTTTCACTCTAATGAGCTTCATATTCCTCTTCTTTTTGTTTGGCTTCCGGATAAAGGAGTCAGATCAGCTCCATCTCACTGCGGAGCTGAGTCTCACGTGGTTTTAGGTCGTATAGTCTGAGCAGGTAGATCGCATCAGAGCGTCGTGCTGCATATGCATCATGAGATGTGAATTCGCACTGTATGACTAGATTAATAACATTTTCATAAAACATGAAAATGATATCAATCCAAATGATTTCCAGCTAATCATCCTGCAGCTCAGAGGGAACAGAGTCTGTAAAATAATGCCTGATTTTGGTCGCATTGCATTTAAAAGGCTGAGATCATCTGTGTTTCTGCTTCCAGCTGCTTGCAGATCCTTGCTGGCCAGCAGGGGGCAGCACTATACTTCCAGATCAAAGTAAAACCCTGCAGTGAAAATGAAATCAAGAGATATCAGAATTTAGATTTCTGACCGAATCGTTGCACTGCTGCATGCAAGTTCTGGTCCACTTTGCAAACCGGACCTAACTGAGGAATTGTTCTGGATTCGGCCCAACCCAAACGTTCCACCTGTGGGAACCTTCAGCTCCATGGCCGGGTTCTAGATGCGTCTGCTTCCTCAGCTCCTGTGTGGGAGCAGAAAGAGCTGCAGGACGGTGAGCCCAGTGGACCAGAACCTTTCCTGCAGGCCGGATCAGCGCCGCCATAGAAGCCGACCTCATGACGACGTGTTTGTGTTTCAGGAGCGGGGCTCAGCGGGCGCCAGATGCACCGCACTCAGGGCGTGTTCAACCACACAGAGGACTACGTGCTGCTGCCTGACGAACGGACCATCAGCCTGTGCTGCTGGGACTCCAGGACGGCGGAGAGGAAGAACCTGCTCTCTCTGGGCCACAATAACATCGTCCGCTGCATCGTCCACTCGCCCACCAACCCCGGCTTCATGACCTGCAGCGACGACTTCAGGGCCCGCTTCTGGTACCGCCGGGCCACCACCGACTGATTCGCTGTTAGTCCAGGGTTTCCATGACCACCGCTCCTCCTCCTGCTTTAGTAATCTTCTTTTGTCTCAATTTTGATTTTGAATTTTAATAAAAAAAAAAAAAACAAGATGCATCTGGTTGTGGTTTTGTTTGCCGGCTTCTATTTAGAGCACAGCTGGTCGGGGGGGCAGCTGGTCCCCCCCCCCCAACACTTCTTCTACACAGCAGAAACAATCTGAAATTAGTTGGAAAGGAAACCTAGAAGAGGTGACCTGGTTCTGCTCCACTTTGAGCTTCTGTGGGAGGTTCTGACCAATGGGGCTGCAGGGAGGCGGTTCTGACCAATGGGGCTGCAGGGAGGCGGTTCTGACCAATGGGGCTGCAGGGAGGCGGTTCTGACCAATGGGGCTGCAGGGAGGCGGTTCTGACCAATGGGGCTGCAGGGAGGCGGTTCTGACCCGAGGCCCCGCCCAGCTGGGGCTCCGTGGAGCTCAGACCAGACGAGACGCGGCGCAGGAAGCAGCTCAGCTCCTCGCTCTGCTGCCTGAGATGGTTCAGTGAGACCCTCTGAACAGAACCTCTGGGAACAGAACCGACATGGTGAGTACTGACTGTGGTCCAGCCTTGTTTGTGTTGCTTGTAGAAGGAACCGGTTCTGTAGCTGATGGGTCCAGTGGTACCATCCTCAGAAACACAGCAGCCTGAAGAGGATGGCTGTTGGACCAGAATCCAGGTTCTGTTCAGCTTCCTTCCAGGACTGATAGAAGGTCCGGAGGAAGCAGATCCAAGGTTCTGGTCGGGTCAGTGAGTTTAACAGTTGATGACCTTCATTAATCATCATCCTCATCCTCCGCTCCCTATAAATAGACTGATGAGTAACCAGACAGAACCAGTCAGACTTCCTTTCTGCTTAGTTGGAACCGGACCGGGTCATTTAGGGAAGTTCTGCTCGTCGTCTGACAGAACCTCAGGAAAACCGATCAGTTTGGTTCTTTTTCTCACCCAGAAATACGACTCAGTCCACCGGATCATCCTGATTGGACTGAACAGAAGTTCTGCTGGACGGGTTCTGTTCCTCCCCGTCTGCTGCTGCAGCCGTCATCCAGATCTGGAACAGAATCAGAACCAGCAGGCAGTAGAACCTTTATGGAGCCGGTGGACCCGGTCCCGCTGTAGATGATGGTGCTGCATGGATCCGTCCTCCATCATGGATCCTTCCAGACCATAGAGGTTCTGGTCCAGTAGCATCATTCCAGAACCTGTTTCACTCCTACGATCCTTTAGGTTCTAGTTGAATAATTTCAGGAGTAAAGCTTCCTGAAGCGGGAGAACCGGGTCGGTTCCCCCTACTCGGACCTTTCCTTCATTTTCTCTTTAATTTTCACTTTTTGGAAATAAAAAGGTGCTGATCCAAACCCGGCCGGGTTCTAGTCCTCCTTTACCTCCAGCTGCTTGGCTGAACGTCCCCGGATTCAAACCTTTCTCTCCATCATGTTTCCTGTTGCCATGGTAACGCATTGAGAGGCTGGAGCAGGTGGTCCAGGTACTGACCCGGTCCGGTCCTGCCTGGAGCAGGTAGAAAGGATGCAGCGCCTCTGCTGGCCGGATGAAGAAAGGCCGAGGAGGAGCGTGAGGAAGTGAGGTTATAAATAACGGCGGATGTGAAGCAGTGAGATAAGTTCCTGCTGAGGAACCGCAGAGCCATGCAGGCGCTCCACTGGGGACTTTATTTCTGCTCTAGAGTTTGATTGTTTCCATGGTTATTATCACAACAATCCTTTATTTAATTTTAGATTTAGTTTTTTCACACTTTGGTTCATTTTTAGGAACTGGGATGATTGCATTTCTTAAGTCAAACAAAGGTCATAGAAGGTTTTTAAAATACAGCTTTAACCTGACGGGTGTGAATATAAACGCATCATTTCATAAAGCTTCACTTTTCCCTTATTTCAGTTCCAATAATGAGCTTCCAGTTGCTCTGCAGGATTCCTGCTTCAGAGGCGCAGAATAAACTACAAATACTTCCTTATTGAAGTAGAAATGTTGGCAATTGATACTTTCCTGGAGGAATTATACTTTAAACTAAACTTTTTTCCTTCTACTCCTTACATTTTACAAATAGTCCATTTAAGCTCATTTTCATTATGGCCTGTTGGTATTTCTTTGAGGTTGGACTCGGTGCTGCCCCAACTTGTTGCTCACCAAATACCAAAATAAATCATTTTTCAAGATGATGCAAAGTTAAATGTGACACTCTTACCATTAGTTATAAAACTAAGAAAATGAAATCTAAGGAAGTTATCGTCCAGAATTGTAGAAAAATTTTCCTTTAATAGAGTAGAGCAGTAAAGCTTCTGGCTTTAACATTTTTTCTTGCATTACTTTTACTTTTATACTTGAAGTAGTTTTCATAAATGGTTCTTTTATACTTTTACTGGAGTAAAAAGCTGAAGTTGATCCTCTAACTTCTACTAAAGTGTTTTTAAACTGTAGGAATAAACATGAATAATTCTGACACCTCTGGTCTGGTTAAACTGGGTCAGTTAGAAGCTATGCTAACCACTGCTGTTCTGCCAGGCCAGCATGCCCCGTCAGGCCAGCATGCCCCGTCAGGCCGGCATGCCCCGTCAGGCCGGCATGCCCCGTCAGACCGGCATACCCCGTCAGGCCGGCATGCCCCGTCAGGCCGGCATGCCCCGTCAGACCGGCATACCCCGTCAGGCCAGCATGCCCCGTCAGGCCGGCATGCCCCGTCAGACCGGCATACCCCGTCAGGCCAGCATGCCCCGTCAGGCCGGCATGCCCCATCAGACCGGCATACCCCGTCAGGCCAGCATACCCCATCAGGCCGGCATGCCCCATCAGACCGGCATACCCCGTCAGGCCAGCATGCCCCATCAGGCCGGCATACCCCGTCAGGCCGGCATGCCCCATCAGACCGGCATACCCCGTCAGGCCAGCATACCCCATCAGGCCAGCATGCCCCATCAGGCCGGCATACCCCGTCAGGCCGGCATGCCCCATCAGACCGGCATACCCCGTCAGGCCAGCATACCCCATCAGGCCAGCATGCCCCATCAGGCCGGCATACCCCGTCAGGCCGGCATGCCCCATCAGACCGGCATACCCCGTCAGGCCAGCATACCCCATCAGGCCAGCATGCCCCATCAGGCCGGCATACCCCGTCAGGCCGGCATGCCCCGTCAGACCGGCATACCCCGTCAGGCCAGCATACCCCATCAGGCCGGCATGCCCCATCAGACCGGCATACCCCGTCAGGCCAGCATGCCCCATCAGGCCGGCATGCCCCATCAGACCGGCATACCCCGTCAGGCCAGCATGCCCCATCAGGCCGGCATGCCCCGTCAGACCGGCATACCCCGTCAGGCCAGCATGCCCCATCAGGCCAGCATGCCCCATCAGGCCAGCATGCCCCATCATGCGACCATACCTCGTCAGGCCAGCATACCCATACCATCAGCTCATGTTCAACCAGATATTCATCCAGGTGGCCATGGATAATATCATCATAGAACTAAAATTACTTATTTCTTTCCTTAACTCTCTAAAGAATGTAAATATACATCTTTAGAAGATGTTTGAAGACTTTCCGATACAATCTTTATGCTTTTTTCCATTTTCTCCATTAAACAGCTTCTCTGACGTCATCGTGCTCAGAGCAGTAAATTTAAAGAAACCATGTTTATCTGCATTCTAGTTGTTTCTTTAGATTACACACTCAGAGATGGGAAGTAACGAAGTACAAATACTTCGTTACTGTACTCGAGTAGATTTTTCTGATATTTTTACTTTACTTTACTACTTATTTTTATGGCGACTTTTTACTTCTACTCCTTACATTTTTACACAAATATCTGTACTTTCTACTCCTTACATTTAAAAAAAATTGGCTCGTTACTTTAGTTTTGAATCATTTCAATGGAGTTACCGTTATTATTTTTCACGTCATCAATACCAAATTCAATCTAATTGGATGGGAATCTACGTTGCATTTGACGCACCACTACAAGATGAATCGACAGATTCGGCGGTATTCATTGGCGGCGAATCATTGCAGCTTGGTGGCGGTGGCGTTAGCATAGTAGCATGGACGACGAGATGATTGAAAATGAACACAACGGAGATCTAGTCCTATTGGCAGACATCCATTTAAAATGTAGGCAACGGCATGAAAAAAGTGGTTTCTACTTTTACTTTTATACTTTAAGTAAATTTACAAGCCTTTACTTTGTTACTTTTACTTGAGTAAAGAAGTTTAATCAGTACTTCCACTTTTAGCAGAGTATTTCTTAACACAAGTATCTGTACTTTTACTCAAGTAAGGAAAGTGAGTACTTTTGCCATCTCTGTACGCACTATATACCAAAATGTTAACAGGAAATGAAAACATAAAACTCGATAAGACTAGATTTATTTTTAAATCCAAAGCCGATAAAGTTAGCTCCAGGAAGTAGCATTTATGTGCAGATCAGGAACAGTGATAAAACAGAGGATATAAATGCTTTTATTTGCTCAGGAAATACATCATAATTAACCTTTAACACATCATAGTTTAGTACGCTTCCTATTTTTAAGGAGGGAAAAACGTAACTTGGGTATTTTTGCAAAGTAAAATGGAGGGCGGCCGGGATGGATATCTGGATGATGGCGAGCTGATGGTATGGATAATGATTCCAGTACGGGTCGGGTAGTGACAGGTGGCCCCGAACCTGCAGCCTCTCTGATGCTCAGAGGTCAAAGGTCATGTGGCTGCTGATGCTGCATGAAGCTGCTTTCCTTCTCATCAGGTTGGATGGCCGGTTCTAGACAGGGGCCAACAGGGGCCCCAGGTAGAACTAGTCCTGGCTCCTGTTATGGATCTATCTACTCATCTGTCGATGAGATGCAGTAACAGACATGGCGACCGATGGCCACCCTCCACTCATTTCATTTATTTTTTTATTTCTATTTTAACTATACTTTTAAAATTAAGGTCCCAGCATCAATTATATTGAGAAAGGAAAAAGTTTTATCTGTTAAATGTAATTTAAAACAAAAAAAAGCTAAATTTGTTAGAAATAAATGTATCAGTTAGTTTGTTAAACTGGTAATCATCATTTAAAATACGTCATAAATATTAAAAAAGTCCTTAATTATGATGTAAAGGGAGCTAATTAACAAAAAATATAGCTTTATTTTATTTAGCAACTAATATTTCAGGGTTATTTCTTATTTTTAGGGATTTTTAATTTTAGGGAAAATTTACACTTTTAAGTTAGGAATAAAAATGTTCTATTGGAATAATTTCCCTTCATCCAACGAGCTGCTCTTTGGTTCCCGGCTGTCTATTTCCCTCTTCTTGTGTTTCATGCTAAACTAGCCCCACCCTGGGCCCCCTAGAAAACACATCCTAGAACGGCCCCTGTTTAGATGCATGGTGGAGCCTGCTAGCTGAGGTCAGAGGTCAAAGCAGGTTTTAAACCTGAATGGAGAGGCTGCGGCTGTTTGCGTGGAGGAGAAGCCTCAAATCAAGCTCCTTTTCCATAAAGTTCATCAGGAGATCGTTTACCTCTGGGTTCCTCCATCGTATCGGAATGTTG